TGATTTGTGATCAAGTCCCAGACAGTTTCCACCATTCCCCCTGTTTTCTCAGCTCAAAGCTGTATTTTCTGTTGCTTAAAAAATTTGCATATTTTCTCAGTGCCTGTTCCTGACTCACAATAAACAATGCCCAGACCTTCTGCCAAAAAAATGTCCAAATGCGAAATAGTTGCTATAATAGTCGTTTTTGTGATGGCAACTTTGAGCTGTGTGCTTTTAAATTATAATTACTTTTTTTCCTTACAAAAGATGTGTATCTGTCTTGATTGCTGTAATTATGATTCTATACCAGCAAACAGTTATAAAAGACCCATGTCATCACTGTGCTTCATAAAACCCGTGCCTTTCAATAAGCTTCCTTTGGTGACTGTATTATGTTTGTGTTTAATTTGTGGCAGGGAAACCTAATGAGAAACTATTAATCATTGAGTGTATATAAAAATTTGTGTCCTTAACTAAATAGACCAAAGAGGATATGGCAAGCCCATTATTGGCATGACATGATTTAGAGTTGGGAAAGGGACTTGAGAAAAATCATCTAGTCTAACCCAATTTTATGGATGATATTCAGAATCGGAAGGGGGAGCATATGGGTTTGGTGACTGCAAACATCATGGGACCAGAAGTTAAGGGAATATAAAGTTTTAAACCTGAACTTGGCACTAAGGAATTACCGCACAGACTGACTCGACTTCCTCATTCATTCCTGGTTTTCAACTGTGATGTGTAGAATCCATGGACCAAGGAGTTGTTTTAAGGGGCTTCTTGGGAGAAAGGAAAGGGAGTCACCCATTCAATCAGAGCTGCCCCACTTGGGTCTATTTTATGTTGAATGAATGAAAAAATAACTCATTGACTTTTTTTTTTCTTTTTTAAGTTTGAAGTTTACTGATGTCTTTTTCTCAAGTCTTAGAATCACAGATGGACTAAGAGGGAGAACTACAAGGGCAGTGTGGTAATGACTTTGGAAATTTACATCCAGGGGCCTTGGGAGCACCTGGGAGAGGGAACCGCCCTTCTGGATATGGGAAGTGGAAGGAGTTTAGAGTTGACTTCCCAGAAGAAATAACAGACAGGAGGCCTTCCTTTTAATATTCTTTACTTTCTTTTCTATCTACCTTTAATAAAAGCTACGTCTTTTATGAGATGAGAAAAAATGAGAAATCAGAGTTCTAAGATGGGTTAAAGAGAACTCTTGTCTTGTTGGACTGTACTCCTAGGCAAACTGCTTAATCTCTATGAACCTCCCTTTCTACGTCTGGTTGTTCAGGACTAGTAATGACAGAAGTACCTCAAAGCATTGTCACCAAGATTAAATTAAGTGATGAGTGTGAAAATACTAGTAAACCTATAAAGTCCTATAAAAACAGTGACTATCATTGCTAACACTCTGCTGAAAGATTTAACTCCAGTGACTTTCCATGATCTTTCCCAAACAAACCAAGACTGTGGTCCTACACAGGTTTGGCTCATGTTGGGCATCTGGGGAAAATATTATTTTACAGTGTAAATAATAATAATAGCAATAACAATTGTGAAGTCTTCTTTAAAAAGCAGATTCTCTTTAGCTTCTCCTCTCCCTTGACTTTCTAATTCAAATCTCACTCACTTAAGGGCCTGGAGAGTTCTCTCCAAAATTAGATTCACACCCATGCTTAAATTCTGTGACTCCCTACTTCCCAGAAGTAGTTCAAGGTCTTTAATTGGGTGTTTGGGGGCTCTCCTTGCCTATTCTCCAGCATGTACCCCTACTTCGCCCGGCCACGTAGCACTGTGTCTGCTGTGTGCAGGCACCATGCTAGACACTGCACACACAGCAGAGAGTCAGGCCCACAGCTTTTCCTTAGCTTGCCCTCAATCTTATTGGTAGACTGACTGGTAAATAGGCCTCAGCACAGAGTTCCCATAATTCTCTGTGAGATCCTCCTATGGTCCATGGCCTGAGAATGATAGGAAGTGTGTTTGTGAAAGGAACTGGAATTCAGATCAGTGGTTGCTCACAATTTGTTGAGTGAATGAATATGATAAAGATTAATTATAGCTAATTAATTAGAGTTAATTATAATTAATCTCTATAGTTGGATACAGTTAGATTTTGTTGTATTCATAGGATTTTTTTAAAAAAAAACTTTTATTTTTAGTTGTAGATGGACACAATACCTTTATTTTATTTATTTTTATGTGGTGCTCAGGATCGAACCCAGTGCCTCATACATGTGAGGCAAGTGCTCTGCCACTGGGCCATAATCCATACCCATCTTCATATGATTTTAAAATAAAGCCTAGTCAGATAAAAATCCAACTCACCAGAATTCCTAGAGGTTTTTTTCATGGGTGTATGCATGTCTGTGTGAGCTAATTTTACACTCACACGTTCATATTTAAGGAGGAAAAACTTTAAGACAAAAAGAAAGACCAACAACCAGCAGTAGTACTTCACCTCCTGCTCTCTCTAGCTGGTCCACCCTTACACCCTGGGATCAAGTCTGGTCCTGTTCATTATATTAAGATTCTATAATTTCTCATTGTAGAACGGACACTCCTTACAGGTGATCGTAAAATGCATGCTATTTGAAAAAGGAATGAGAAAAATCCCTCCTGACATTAAAATAGAAAATATTCAATAAAGGCTAAAATGTCTTCATAATCCATTTTCTTGCTCAATAAATTCAATTTTATCAGAATTCTCTCATTTTAAGTGCTGAAGTTGAAATCTAACTCTCCTGTACTGTATTAGGAAAAGCAATTGTTTATTATCCATCATGATCTCTCATACTTCAAACCAAATAATGAGGATGCTCCCTTTCTGGATGGTTTAGATTCCATTGTTTCTTGTTATACCAGCATTTTTTTTTCCACCAAAGGAAAGGACATGTCTACAATATAGTCATAGAATGTTCAGAGAAAAATCTTGGCAGATTTTCCAAAAGGAACAGCAATTGTTCCATGTGTTTGTTTGTTTGTGGGTTTTTTTATTCTGGAATCCCAACATTAATGATTCCCTGGCTCTGGGTCCCCCACCCCAAGGAGCTTTAAATGAAATAGAGCATATAGAGGTTTATTCATAATTTATGGATCTTTCACTTATTTGGTGTTTCTATGAAGAAAAATAAATGTTTTTAAACTTAAGAATCTTACCTATAAAGTAGGATGGGTGGGGGGGTGGACAGAAACACATTGAGTAAGCCCAGGTTGCTCCCAGGACATTATTGCTATCATTTTTCCAAAAGAAGAAAGCGGTGCTTAAAAGAAATAATTCACAATATTTTCTCTAGACTAAAACCTTGTAATTCAGATGAACTCTGAACTGACTGGGACTCTTTGCATCTCATTTTCTCATTAGGTTTTATTACAGCCAACAAAACTTTCAGTGGTGAGTTACTTCCCCTCTCAATGAACACCAGACTCCCATAATGTTTGCACAAACTGAAATCATGAAAAGGTGTTTAACCAAACTTTAGGGATTAGAGGTGGGAAAGAAGGGAAACCAATATCATCTCATCTCTGTGCTAACCAAAGTGTGGTGTTCCAGCTCTTTTTCTTGCTTATGAAAAATAAAAAAATGAAAATGTCCCAGGGCTTGAAACTCCACTTAAAATCATCTAGATTTCTCTTTCAAGCTCCCTTGAAATATAAATCATTTCCACAAAAAGGAAAAACAAATTGGTCCTAAATTAGTGGCTCAGGTAGGACCTGATGCAGTCAATAAAGTGCTTTTAAAAACTGTCATGGTATTGAGACATGAGATCTTCTCTAAGCGTCTAAGTCAAGAGCACCAATATCAAAAATACTAGTTTTTAACACATAAGGTCAAAAAGTATTTTATTTCACATCCTTATATTATGCCAGCCATTCCAAAGAATTGCTTGATGCTTGCTTGCCATAGGACAGGTTCTTAATTTCAAAAAGTTTACAATTTTGTTGAGAAGCCAAAACTTAACACAGTTTTAAGAAGGACTCAGGGCAAGACATTGTATTATTAAGTGTTGAACAATAGAGTGCAGATACTAAATGATCCAGGAGGAAAAAATGAAAGATCATGAGAGCTGAGACTGTCAAGAGAATGCATTTTCAATAAACTCTTAAAATGATGCCAAATTAGAAAATTGTTATAATTGCTGCTAATTTGTCAATTTAAGTCATTTACGTGATTCACCATTCCTTTCCAACCAGTAGCTGTTCAAAACCGCATACATGAACAGTTGAAGCTGGCAGGAGACATTTCATTACAACTCCCTTGATTTGCTAATGAGGAACAAAAACACGTATTTTCGTGTTGGATAACAGACAGGAGAATTGAGATTTTGCATGGAGAATTTAGTGAGCAAGAACACAAAGCTCTGGCTGTGATTTTTGGTATGAGTTTTGGTTTCTAATGAACTATTTTCTTCCTCCCAAATAAGTTTTAAGTTTGGGGAATGAATCAGTCTCAAAAAAATAATTTTTTGTTTTTTGATTATCCTATTTTCAAAATTTACTTTTCTTTTAAGAAAAAAAATGGACTGGACTAGAAGTGCCGGTTATATTCTGAAGGCAATGCCAATTTTTAACTCCTAAAAATGGTGTGTGGGTTGGGTGGGTGGGGGTGTTTAGCATCCTTTAAAATTGAGGCATCTGAATAGCAGCTTATCTTTTGAAATCATGAGACTTCAAGTGTGCATTTGCATTCTTGGTCTTAAAATGCTTTTTACTTTAGAGTTTGGCAAACATCCTAGTCCCTTTGTGTTCCTTACCTTTTCAATCTTTGCATTGCAGGCAGCCTGAGTTCAATTAGATTTGTTATAATGGAGTTTAAACTGCTAAAATAGAGGCATGTCTCATCTTGTGTTTTCGGTAACTTTAGACAAGTTTAGAGAATTGTAGTAAGCATTTTTCTCTATATTTGATTGCGTTTAAGGTCTCCCCAAGAAACGTCAATTATAAACCTAATTCTAAAAGGAGGCACTTCTTCCTAACAGTTGTTACTACCAGGCAAAAGAGCACACTCTCCCATTCCCATAAGAGTAGGAATCCTGCAATAATGTGAGATAATTAAATTTAGCCTTAGAAAAAGTCTTTGAAATGTACTAATCAAGACTCCAGTTTTCCCGAGAGTATGCGCGATTTATTTTTCAATTCTTCCTGGTCCTGATTTTGCATTTCTAATGCAAGTGAACTGACAAAGCGTGAAAGTGGGCTAAGGAGCAAAACAAAGCCAGCAAGCATGCTTCTGGTGTGCCAAAATTAATCAATATTCCAGAAACCTCGGGGCTCCCCCTTGGTCCCCGTGCCGTTTTCATTTCCCCTCTCCCCTTTCCCGCGCGCAGGCTCCTCCCCTTTTCTTAAGTTGCCTGATAGTAAGTTGCAGTTTCAGAGCACATGCATATTGTCAGGGCTGGCCCGCCTGGCGCGCGCCCTGCGCTCGGTCACTCCGTTGTACCTGCTGGGGAATTCACCTTGTCATTGCCTGGGGTGCCTTCCACCGCTTACAGGATCCGAGAAGGTAAGTGCGACGTCCTGTAGGCCTACTGGGTTCGATTTCTCGATCCACTTCTCCGCCGATGTATTCTGTTCACCAGCGGAGGAGTACCGAGAGGAAAAGCTAGCCATTTTGGTAGATAAAGTCCACGTTAGTGATTGAACGTGGTGTGAGCGTGGGGTGTCTATTTATGGCGGATCCTTCTCTTAATTTGGAGTTGAGTCATTCGGGGTAGATTGGGGATAGATGGTGATCAGAGATCTAAAAAAGAGCCAAGATTATTGAGCTGGTCTGCTTAAAAGTGACAGACTGGTAAAGGAAATCAGAGCTGCTAGTTCAAAAAAAGAAAAAAAAGAACTGGACCCTCCCCTCTCTGTTTCTTCACTTCTCCCTAAGCTTTTAATCTAGTGTGAAGTCTTAAACAAGCTGTAGGTCTTATTATCAATGACCCCAACCTGCAATTTTATTTAAAAGTCAAACTGTTAAGTCTTTTTTTTTTTTTTTCCAACCCTTGGATTTGCCAAAAGCTTGCGAGGAGTCCCCTGGCTTCCAGTCACCTCCCCCACAGACACACTCGCTGGCTGCCTGCGCTACCAGACACGCAGGTCCCCCTGCACCCCGGTTTTCATCTCAGATTGATCCTGGGGAAGGCATGACTTAGACGAGGAAACCCTTGGTTTACGCAGCAGGAGGAAACCCTCGGTTTTTCAGAACAGCTGATTTCCAGAAGGAAGAAGGTTTGCTTCATTGTATTTGAATAACCTAAGAGCGCTTTAAAGAAGCCAGAAACCACACACTGTAATGTTTGGAATGAAAATTGGATTCATCTCCCCATCTGTTCCAGAAATCCTAAATTTTAAAACACTTAGAAGTCAGTGATAGTTTCCTCAGAAGACTCCAATATGTTTGCCCCAAAGACAAATGTGACTTTGTACTTCTACTTGTAATAAAATGAAAATGGATTATGATTTTAGAAATTTTATAGAAGTGACTGGAGCACTTTGTTTATTTCATGGAGAAAAAAAGTCTAAACTTTATCCTGTAAACTAGTGAAACGTATTTGTCATGCCTTCTGGGCACTGGCATCCTTTCTGTGAGCATATTTACTAGATGTTTTTATCCTTAATGAAGAAAATAGCCTGTTATTTTACTACTTAGAACAGCAACCTCAACTTTCTTCAACTGTGTATACAACATGAGTATCACTAAGTAATTATTGGGCATTTTGTGTGCGTTCAGTTCAATTGGACATTTATCAGGTGTATATATTGTGAGGCACTTGGCTAGGTTCTGAGGAGTAGGGTGTCACATCCAGTTCTGAAGAATAATATTTTGCCTCACTGAAGGAGAAGAACAAACTGAAAAAATAAAACACAATTTTCTGCCCCTATATTCTGAATTTATGCCCATTCTTCACATATGGTTTAGTCCAGTAAAATACACACATTTGGAAAGGAAGCCTGGGTTGTAGCTTTCCAGGTTTTGATTTCTACCGAGATTATGCAGTTTGCTTGTAACCTACCATGTGGGCAGCACTGATATCTCCACCCCTGAAGGCTATAATGCTTGTCTCTTTCTTTCCCATTGTAGTTGTGTTCTCTAAGACCAAAGAGGTTTGGCTTTCTGGAGGCAATTTGGAGACCCTGAAATAGAAAGAAGAGACTCTCCTAGAAAAGTAAAATATGACGAAAAGCAATGGAGAAGAGCCCAGGATTGGGGGCAGGATGGAGAGATTCCAGCAAGGAGTCCGCAAGCGCACACTTTTGGCCAAGAAGAAAGTGCAGAACATCACAAAGGAGGATGTCAAAAATTACCTGTTTCGGAATGCTTTTGTGCTGCTCACAGTCACTGCTGTCATTGTGGGTAAGTCATTTGATAAAACAAAACAAACAAAAACCTGTATCTTGTTTCTCTGGGGCATCTGGCTGCCTGGGAACACTATCAGATGGATTGATTGTAGCTATTCAAAAGAATAGCCCAGCTTTCCTCTGAACTTGAAGATTTTTTTTCCACACAAATTAGTTTGTTGGCATCTTTGAAGCAATACATGGTAAACACGTGGGAATCTGAGAGAAGCATCCTTTAGAATTATGCAAATCAGCTAATTGTATGGAGAGGAGAAAAAAACTCCAACGTCTTCCCATTTCATGTAGAAGTTAAGGAGGGACAATTTAATCATTAGACATGAGCAGTTAAATAATAACAAAGCAAGTAAGCACATTAGATGTGGTCAAAATGTAATCATTATACAATGTCACCTTTGCTTAAAATTAATTTATACAATTAGTACACCCAAAATGAGATACAGGTCTCTGATGGTAATTATATTCTAGCTGGTATTGACTTGGAGCTGAATATCAACACTTAAACATAGAGGCCCAATATTTTACATGTTTGCACTCTTTCACCCAGCAACTGGGAAAGGCAAATTGGAGAAAATGTTAACACAGACCTCTTTCATCCATTGCCTCAGACAGCCTGCCATAACCAGCTACATCTTTTTTGAAACACTGCAGTTTCCTACTAATCTAGCCTGATTGACAGCAATCAGTACTAATAAAATGTTGTTTGGTTTGGTTTATTTGTATCTGAAATTTTCAGTTATTATTTATAGGTGACATTGACTTACCTTAAAACATAGCTGAAAAAATACTTATTCGAACTTTTTAACCAAACTAATATAGTAATCCTTAGGTTGGCAAACTTAAGCCAACACCAGGTTGTAAAAACTGCTCTAACATAAAATTCTACCAGTTTACCACCACAAAAGGGTGTTCATGTATAGTTTTAATCTCCACCTTGAAGCTTGCAAAGATTGCCATCAACTATTAAAAGATGATGACAATAAAAAATTAAGAAAATGCTGTAGCATGTAGACGATATAGCTTTGTCTAAGATATGGAATTTATATAAGAAAAAGAAATGGATTTATAAATCATAGACAAACAGAAATACAACAGGAAAGTATAGTTTGTCACAAGACTTTAGCTACATCCCATTTCAATATCTTTGGCTTCTTTCAGTAAATGTTGATTAATAAGTGCTCAATTAATTGTAATGATGTTCAAAGAGAACATGTCCTGATTCACCCAGAGAAGTAATGGGTTTCTTTAGTAGGCTCCCAAATTTGAATGTATTCCTGGAACAGACCTTTGAGGATTGTGTCCTTGTCCTGGAAGCCAGTGCAAAATGCAGCAGCCCCCCTCATTTTTCACTCTGAGTTACAGTCATTGTCAAGCCAGGCAATAGCTGCAGAGTACTCATTGCAAACATTTATTTCCTACTATTCTAGCTCCTTTTTGGGTGTTTTGCAAATGTTAGTTCACTTGATCCTCAAAAGAGCCCATGAAGTGAATGGGTAGGTATGAGTCTCACAATCTTCCTCATGTTACTGATGAAACCAGTCATGGAGAGTTCAAGTAGCTCACCCAAAGTCAAGGGCTACTAAATGATAGAGAAGGAAGTCGAACTCAGTCTAGTGCCAGAGGCCATTCCCTGCTTGCCTTTCTGATCAACTGACGAGCTGACATCTTGTGAAAGATGCTATAAAGACGATGCTGCCACGGGTGTAGGTGGAAGCCAATTAGCAAGCATTGCTAGATGCACTCACGTAGCAGCGTCATTTTAGGATCTGATTTACCCAGTTTAACTCAGCAGAAAGCTTACGATTCTTCTACAATTAAGCCATATCCTTCATTAATTTAATAAACTTTCATTTATTTTTCAATCCTATGTGTGTAATAATAGAGCTCAGAAGTACCAGAGTATGTTTGGAAAATCTGCAGAAACACTTATTCAAAATGGTGTTCCAAACACCAGAAGAAGGCCAGGGATGTAGCTCCAGGAGATCTCTTACCTAGAACGTGGCAGAGCTCTTACCTAGAATGCTCAAGGGCCTGGGTTCAATCACAGCCATGCAAAATATAAATAAACTAAATAAAGACATAAACAGCAGAAGATTCAGTCTCTAAGATAGAAACACTTTCATTAAAGAACAGAGGAAGAGAAAGTAATAAAACCTGAACATGGAAGGTAAATTGATGGAAGAGGAAGTTCCTAAATACAGGTGAATAACACCCCTCGTAAAGGAAGAAAATGCCAGGACTTGAGTCCAGTTTCTCTAGGAGGTCTGGGATCACCTCCTAGCCCAGTGAGGCCTTTCCTCCGATTTGTGAGAACAGCAGTACGAGTTGGCTTGAGCCGGGGTAGACCCGTTGGCTGGGCGCCCTCATGGTTGGCTTCACTAATGGAAACTGAGGAGTTAGAAGCAACAAGAAGAAGGCACTAACAAAGAAACACATAAAAAGAGCTCATTGACAGTCAGAGAGACCACCGAGTCTACACCAAGGACTTGGAATAGCAAACAGACAACTTAGTAGCAAACACATTTAGGAAAGAAGGAAGAGCCCTTCCGTTATCTGTTGGTGTGTCTTCCATGAGGGTCCAGTGGAAACAAAGACTCCATTTAGCTGGTCACTGGCTTCCATGTCTTCATCAGCCCTAGGCAACATAGTAGAGAAAAAAAGGTGTCTGAACACCAACTCCTTAGTTTATTAGCTACAGCATAGGAAAGAAAAGCAGGAGAGATGCTAGCAAGGAAGAAGGAAGTAGTTACTTTCCCAAAATACAGTACGAGAAGAAATAAAGCTATAACTTCATTTTCAAATTCTTAAATTTTCATAATTTTTAGTAAAAAGTACTAGTAAAACTTATGTGTTGGGGTGAATTTTTCATTCACTCTGTTTTATCTTTTTCAAACAAAATGTATGCACACTTAATGTATAGAAAAGGAAACTAGAAAAATATGAGGGAGGACGTGCAGAGGCATGTGAATCTATATATTCAGAATAAAACAGAGAACCGTAGTTATTTTGATATCACTTCCCTATAAAAATAGAACTGCTTGTGTAATTTGATGTCATTGCACAATGACATTGCATTCAGTGACAAAGTCTGAGTGTGCCTTGCTATGACTATGGCTCACAAAAGAGCAGATTAGAAACCTTATAGAGGTAAGGCCAACTTCCTTTAAGAGAATTTGTTGGGAAAGTATTAAATAATGTTGCAGACATCTGTCTGACACCTCCTTGCCCCCCCACAAAAAAATACTGAGAAAAGTAGTCACTATTTTTCTTCCTCTAGAAAGCACATTCTGGTTTCAAACCATGGTAAGTTGTGTTACGGTTTAGAGTTGACCTCAAACATCTTGGTGAAAGAAAGGAAAGTCTTTTGGTCCTTTGTCATGTTTAAGTCACAGAGGGATGACTCTTTTCCATGTCCAGGAAATGATGGCACAATGAAAATAAAATCTCATGTCAAAGAAATATGAAGAAATGGGTCATGAGATCAAAGGGTGGGAATCTGTAAGTAGAATTGCATAGAATCGGATGGTGGCTTTACCTGACGGCATTCACAGACAGAGTAACTATCATCTCGTTCCATTATTGGTCTTGCCTTTTACACAACAAAAAAGTTGACATGTGGCTTGCCCTTTATAGGGGTTTAAGAGAAACTGATGACTTCTCAGAAAAGAAAACATACAGACTAAATTTTTATAAAACATTTTCCCCAACTCTCTAATTTTTCTTTGGTAGGAAATTTAAATTGCACTTAAATTCAGTACAATTCTATATAATATCTCACTCAAGAGACTGGTTACTGAGTATGCCTGGTAGGACAGGAGCTGAGTGTCTTAGGAATGGGTAAATGGAGAATTTCCTCTGAATAAGTTTGTATAGTTTGAATGTATTTTCAGCTCATTTATATCATCTACTGTTATCTATTCTGTGCTAAATAAATGTTAAATTATTTATTTTTATAAATTCAGTGCTATTCACCAGTTTAACAAATATTTCATGTTGCGTATCTGGCCCTGTGCTATGCAATGGAGAGTCCCTACTCTCTGGTAGTTTAGTGGGAGCAAAGGATGAAAAATAAGGTGAAAAGGGAATTTACAAGGATCAGAGGTGGTAAATAGAGAAGGTTATAATTAACTCTGAACTTTTTAAATGAGCTAATGTTATGCATACTGTTCTACAGAATATATGGTGTCTTCTTGTGTTAGTACTTTTGAGGTTCTATTTTCTCGTTAACACCTGCATTAGGAACCCCAGATGTGCCATGTTTAAAAAAAAAATAGTGTGGCTTTTGAGGAAGGATGGACTTGGATTCATATACTAGTTCTATTTTTTAATAGCCATGTGGTCCTAAAGAAGGCATTTTACCTCTCTGAGCCTTGGTTTCCTCATATGTCATTACAACTATAATATTGACTGCTACAAATAATAGCTAACACTCTCTGATGTGTCAAACTCTGTTGTGTTTTAACTTTATTTAGACATTCCAAAAACCCAGGTGGGGAGGCATTTTTATTACTCTCATTTCACAGATGAGAAAGCTAAATCTCAGACATTTATCCTAGAGTCCATTCAAATCTGTTAGAGCACAAATTTCTCATTCTTACCCACCACACTGTTCTGGGTGCTGGTCCCTGCTTACAGGGAGTACCCTAGTTTTATTACAGCAGTTAGCTAAATGTCTGCAGTGAATCCTCTACAGGAAAGATAAGGAGGAGATGTTGAATTGGAAGATTTTAGAAGTGTCACACGTGAGATTTGGTGATTGAATGAGAGAGGGTGAAGTACAGGCTGATGTTCTGATTTCTGCCTTGGGTGACCAAGTGGTTGATGGTGCCACCTATGAAGGTAAGAAGGCCAGGGTGCATGCAGATAATGAGTTCTGTTAGGGATCTGTTGAGTTTGGAGGAGGGCTCACTGCACAATGGTGTCCCCACCATTCTCAGGACTGAACGAGGGTAATACTGTCTTTGGAGTTAAGTGACTTATGGTCAGCGACTCAGGTTA